ARKWAAATGCAGGTTTTTTAGATTATTTTAGATTTCTGCTCYCTTACAATGTTTTTAATCTGTTTTTGTAGAARTTGATTTCGGATGAGCGTTTCCGGTCAAAGGGYGAGGAGGATGTGGAAATGCAACTTCCGGTCCAATTCATCAATGCAGTGGTTTCCACTCCTTCTCTATCAGACGAAGTACAAGTTGAAGTCATGAAGGTATTTCACCCTCCCCTCCCCTAGTRTTAAAACACTTCTCGAGACTAAGTGCGATGTTTGTGTTCCAGATGCTTCTTATTATTACCTGTTCGGCGTCGTGTGAAGTTCACGGGGAACATCTCATCAAAATCGCCGAGGTAAGGTTTTACATGTCCTCTTGAACGATAGTGGCGGCTTGGAAGTAAGGGGAGGGGCAGGGCTGGGAAAATTGAGAGCGTCTCATTAATTCTCAGCCTYAACCCACCCCTTCTTTTAACACACTCTTAGAGCCATTATGCAGACTAGAGGAACAACAACTCGTTTTATCGATTATTGGCGATGACTTGTTCCATTCGATAATTGGTTCTTTTGAGATTTGTTCTAAGAACATGTTCAGTTCGATAATTCATTGTAYATGTTTTRATTAGTTCCATACGATTTTTCGCTCTATTGTATRAYAWGTTTCRTTTYCATCTSTCCGATTATTTGTTCCATTATTTTGATGACTTGTTTGATTTGTCCAATTAGATATGTATCGAAACATACACACGTGCGCACCAAAATGCCACGAAAACAGCGTGCAGGGCGACACTGAATCAAATGCTAAGTTCTGTTTGTCATAAGTTACAAGAAAGCTTAGCTGGGACAACGGTGAGTGATGATGATGATGATGATGATGATGATGATGATAATAATGATGATGATGATGATGATGATGATGATGATGATGATGATGATAATGATAATGATGATGATGATGATGATTTCCTTTCATTGCATGAAGGAATGATATCATTATTGTAAAACCTGATTTATTTATTTCAGACATCCTCGAGTGGCAACTCAGATCAACAAAGCGAAAAACGTAAGACATTTACATAATGCAAACAAAAACAATCTTATATAAGTCTTACGAAAATTGCTTTTTCTCAGAAACACTCGCTACGGACAATCACAAGATCCTTAGCTTGGATGTTGTTCTCCTTTTGAAACATTTCTGCTTTCGCCTTACTGCAGGTCCCAGGTAAGGCTTTAACAAAACCCCCAGGAATTATTGACCATTAGATATTGTTGACGCATGCTCATGCATGTTTTTAAGCCTTTACCACATGGCTTACAGAATGGCTTGTTTTCGTTTAAACAGCTCTCCTGGGCAGCAAACAAACCAAGCAGTTCCTCTTTACTTGGAAGCCATCTTGGTCATGCTTGGTAGCTTGTCMACGTCGTTACAAAATGACAAAGAATTCATCACCGTCATCTGGCAGCTTCTTTGTCCTGCATTAATTCAGCTCTTGGGAAGCCCGTTAACAGACCTGAGTAAAAAAGGCAAATCTGTATCAGGCTCCGTAGAGGACATAAATCGAGGGGGTCGAGGAAGTGGGAGCTTTCCTAAGGCCTCACCTATCGTAGGTCCTGTCCCTAGGACCATATATAATATAGCCAATGAGCTCCTTCGTCTTATAGGACCATTGGCRGCAATGAGACCGGTTTTGGAGTCCCTGTTTCATCGTATAATTCTSTATCCTCCAGCTTACCAAAGAACAGAGGCGTTGAAAGCKTTGAAAGAGGTATTGATTRTAATCATTCTACAGTATACTAACGTCTTGGGGACACCCCATKAATACGAACACCTTATTATCACGGACACAATACAAACTACATGGCATTTATTTTTATATTTTGATTGTGTYRATTTGATAGATTCTGGCAAGTCCGCAAAGGTTATTGGATGCTGCGGGACCAACAATAGTCGATAAAGATAATCCCCCATCACCAGACTCACCTACCGAACAGAAGAAGACTGATTTGGACTTACTGAGATTGTGAGTTTTGTTGGTGTCTTTATAGGAAGGAATATCATCATGATCATCATGATCATCATCATCATGATCATCATCATCATGATCATCATCATCATGATCATCATCATCATGATCATCATCATCATCATCATCATCATCATCACCATCATCATCATCATCATCATCATCATCATCATCATCATCATCAGTACTGTTATCGTCATAAGCATCATTGTTATTTTGACCATTAAATTAATTAATTAATTAAATTAATTAAATTATGTTCGTTATAGAATATATTCACACATATTTTGCATGATTATATTCCAGATTAATGGATGGCATTGTCGAGTCCGCGCACTGCAGTGACAGTACAGTGGCAAGCTGTAGCGTAGCATGCGTAGTAGCATTACTTGGTTCCTTGGAGGACCTTAGTCAAGGGCGTGGTCTCAGCGACGARCAYATCGAATTTCTCAGTCAAATAAAAGAATCTGARAACTGGGAAGAAATGTACCAGATTAAAAAYAGTTACGAGAATGCAGCTTCGTCAAGAGATGTCCCGAGGTTCACAGTTTCTGACGAAACGTTTGAAGATGGAGAAGKAAAAGGGAAGAGAATAGGATGGGAGCATGACTCTGATCAAAGACCAAGTCCTGAGGGAGATATAGGTACTGTGACAGAGAGATTTATGAAAGGTGGAAAYGTTTGGGAGACGAACAAGGAAGAAGAARGCAAAGATAGTAATGGTGGGTGTATTACAACTTTGATTGACGTACTTTTCTGAARTCACAGAATCAAACATATAATTCATATTGTAGGATGTCAAATGATAATTTCAACTTTTACCCCTCCTTTGACACACAGAAAACACAATACTTGTTTGAGGAAAACTAGTTTCGTCTTATAAATTCGACCTTATCAATTCCTCTAACATATCATTTTTAATAATTTCTAAATTTCTCTCATTGTATATAATTAATTCAGTAAACTTTTTTGGACAGATGCAGAAAACGAGTCTAAAACCATGAAAAGCGTTCACTTTGCACCGGAGGACGAAGTCGCGATGTTTGAAGCATACGAGAAACAAACCGAACGTCAATCAGCTCAACGCACAGGGATCCCGAGACGGTCCAGTTCRCCTCGAAAAGCCGTCGCAACCGGAAGAWCAGCAGTAAGACGGTCGGCTTCATTTGAATCCAAAACGAGGCCAAGCTCAAGTCCTATTCCGAGAAAATCTGGTAATGARWCTCAATCCCAGGGACAGCAAGGCGCCGAGGARGCTCGGTCACTAACGGATTTAGATTTATCGCCATACAAAGCCTCTAAAAAGGAAATGGGACTTCCTTTGAAGAGGTCAAACTCTTGGACCGCGCTTACATCCAGTGAAAACTGGGAGCCTGGGAAGAATACTACGCCCTCTCGACCCAGTACTCGACCAGGAGAGGACGCTGAGAACGCTGGAAAAGATTTCCTAGAAATAAGACCGAGAACTAATAGTGAAATACTTAGTGCAAGGAAAACATTCGTGGAATCAAAAGCGAATAAACTCGAGGCGAAGGAGAGGGCGGAGAAGGGTAACAAYGAGGACAGGTCACCMGTCAAAGGACCACGCCCCATCTTAMGACGCACTAAGTCGGCGTCTGATTTTGATCGAAAACAAGAAGSTAAAAACGGTAAACCTAAGGGAATCTTAATTAAGTCCAGTTCCGTGGACTCGGAACCTGAGGAGCAGCAAAAAGTYCCCCCWAAGAAGAATCCTCCAGCTCGMTCTGTTGTCAAAATCAACGGAGTTTACGTCACAAGGGGAACTGGGCTCAAAGCACCACAGGCTGCCCMACCTCAGGCTCCTCCAAAAYCTACCCCGCCAGAAGTCAAAAAGGCAAGCGAAGTAAAGAAAAGCGTCGAAGAGAATGAAAAAGAAGGAGCTCGYAACTTTGCTCGGTGTCTTCTCGGTATACTACCATCAGTACTCGGTCTTAACGACACTACGGCTGTCGACGAGGCGCTMCAACAGTTCGCCTCCGATGTATGCGAGGCAGTCACKTGCATGTCATTAAAACGAAAGAATGTCCCTAACTTCGGAACACTTCGTGGAAGGTCGGATTTGGTCGATGAGACGTCGGGGAAAGGAGCGACGTCCGATCCTCATTTCCCGATTCTTAACGCCGATGGTGTGTATCTAACCGTGTATAAGACATTGGCGCTCAGCTTGAATTTATTGAAAAGTGGTCACTACCAGAAGAAGAACTCGGAACCWCCTTTAACACAGGTATCACACTAGATCATTTATTTTAGGATGTAAGTTATCGTAARAGAATGTTGAAACGTTGTTGATTAAACGAACCAAACGCAAAAGTTATCATAGTAGACAATGCTGTTTAGTTTACTTGAGTTTTATTTTATCGATAAATCTGTATAAGTGGAGAAAAAAGACCACTGAATGTAACGTGTTGAGTTCGACGTTTTGATATTAGAAATAAATATTTGCTTTCATTTTTGTTCAAACAGAAAGAATTCGTCGACAGTATTTTGGACAGCGGTGTRATGGTGGGCCTTTCTTCAGTGTGGCTCGGAGAACTATACCGATTGGTAACCACGTATAACATACTTGGCAAGGCTGGATATAAACCTAATGATTCGAGCACTAATCGCGCACTTGTTAGCCTCTTATCAGAGAGTATTTTTAACGCTGACAAGGAGTCTGGGAATGAAATCTTTCTACGTCAACAAGAGCCAAATCACATGACGCCTGCTAAGCGTGAGGGGACTAAGTTTGGTCGACGGGTATTGCTGACGGCGTGGGACTCAGTACTAGAGGTGTTGTCTTTGCCTTTGGAAGCTACTGCTTCAGGTGAGACCTTTTATCAGTAAATGACTGAACGGATAAACGAACTGAATGGATCGATGGATGATTGAATGAAAGGATAAGAATGAAAAAGAATATATTTTGCCTCATAAAAAGGTGCTTTGACATGTAGGGATTTAGGAACACAATTGGCAGTCTGGAAGATTTTGTGCCTTGGTCTTAACCCATCATTGAATCCTAGATAAATAGAATTAATATGACTATATTTAATTGTTCMTAGCGATGGGAGGTACCACCAGTATCGCSGCCATGCTTGGTGGRGAATCGAAACGAGATCAYAACAGAGAACGAGACACTATTTGCCTTAGCCTGGACGGTCTACGTCGAGCTGCAAGACTYTCATGYACCCTCGGCATCCAGACGCGCTGTGAGCTCGTCTTAGCATTGCTAGCCAATGCGTCCTGTGGGGTGGAGGGTGCGGCAGGAAAGCGAGCAAGACAGCAAGTCCTGTCGGGTCCTGTTAAGCTGCATGCAGCGCAAGTTCTCAGTATGGATGGTCTTCTTGCTGTGGGAGTTGAGCTGGGAAGTCATGCACCCAAGTGCTGGAAACATGTGTTTAGGTAATTGTCATTTCACAATTATGACGTCACACTATGACGTATGTCACTATTATGACGTCATATTATGACGTCACACTATGACGTATATCACTATTTTGACGCCATACTATGACGTCACACTATGACGTCACGATTCTGTTCAACGTAATGTTCACTGTTGTGATCTCATAGGTGTTGTTCATATATCGCCGAGCTTGATCGACAGCAATCAAGTCATGGTGCCATCGATCCATCTCAGAGAATCAACGGTGATAACACGTCGCCATTGTCGGACAGYTCGTCAAGTATAYCAGACTATTTGAACGGAGAACTATCTCCTAATGCAGACCCSACACGAACCAATGAGAAATCAAGCAGTAATGGTGGWATATTAAGTAGCGCCGATGTATCRAGGGCAATCTTTGCTCTCTCAGCCGCCGTTGATCGACTGTTTGAACACGCAGCAAACACRCTCCACATTGAGGCTTTGTTGTCTTTTTTACAGGTTAGAGTTTRGTTCTGAACAGCTGATGTAATCTTTTACCGTTATTCTGTTCCACCAACCTTAAATCTACCCTATGTTATTAGTTTAGCAAGCCGTAACTGGTACTAAGTTCTAATTTTAACGGTCCTCTTACTTTTAGTCTCTTATACAAGCCTCACAGAAGCAGTTATTTGGTAATACYCTAGAGAGCTCGTTAATGCAACCRTTATCAAACCAATCGAATGGCCAACAGAGCTCAAATTTCACCCCATTGCACCTTTATCGGCTGGCTGACGTCATGTTGAGGAGCGCCCGCAATGCTAACCGGCCTTTGTTACACCTAATGCGCGCATGGGCGTTACTATCACCACATTTTGTAGAGGTAAGGGGCAAAMAAAATGAAACACACACACAGATAAAGTAAAAATTAGAAAATAAAAAAGAAAGTAAAGAGAGAGGGAGAGAGAAAACAACAACAAAAGAATTGAAAGAGCTTGAGTGACTGAGTTTTTAGATTATTTTTTCGACATTACAATAACATCACAAACCTGCCACTGTTCATTTTGTTATTCTAGGCKGCTTGYCACAGRGAAAGACACATAGCTAAGCTGTCAATCACATGCTTACATGATGTYCTTAGTGAGTTTCTCATCAATCGTAACGAACTTCCTCATTTCTGGTTCCATGAGGCTTTGTTTAAGCCTTTTGAGAGTATGTTGGCTTTGGAGCTTTGTGGCGARGAGGAGCAAGAACAGGTAAGAATATACATTCTCGATATGATTTTTTTGAATCATTGCAATTTGCATAACTATTTTTTTATTGATTGCATGACTAATTCGTTGATTGATTGATTGATTGATAACGCGATGGATGGATAGATAAATTGATTGATCGATGGGTCGATTGAGTGATTGGTTGATTGATTGATGGATTGATTGATTGGTTGATGAATTGATTGATGGTGGATTGATCGATGATTGATTGATCGATGATTGATTGATCGATGGGTCGATTGAGTGATTGGTTGATTGATTGATGGATTGATGATTGATTGATTGATTGATTGATTGATTGATGGATTGATATTGGTTGATCGATTGATATACTATCAATTTGGGATTTTTTCATTTCTTTCTCTTTTCATTTACAGGCACTTCTAACCCTTGCTGAGCTCATTAACATACACTCCTCAAGYATCAAATCAGGCTGGCGTCCAGTCTTCCGCGCAATTCGCTCGGTCCGTAATTACAATCGACGGGACGACTTCGACAACTATGACTTTGAACAGCGGCCTTCCCCAGTCTTCAGTATCGTTTCTTCTTTTCTTAACAATAAAAACCCAGCAGTGTTTGGATCAGCAGCCGTCGAGTGCATTCAATCGCTCTTAAACTTCGTACGTGGCTCGCTTTACGAGGAGTCTACGGACGAYAGCCGAAGTGACATCGAGAGCACGATTAGTACCGAAAGTGCGAATTTGTTAAACGACATGTGTTTGCCYGCATTGGARCACCTTTCCAATATGTCAAAGAAACTAGCGTCTATTCACATCATGCCATCGAGTTTAGTATTCAACGGTGCTCATGCAATAACATTAGTCAACCTACCTCAAGTATACTCCATCAACCAATCCAGTACAACCCCACCTAAACAGACTATACTCAAGAATAAAGCACAACCCAGTCCMAGCTCGGCCACAACTGCAGCGTCTATTACAGCCATCGATGACACCGGGGTCCTTCGAGTATGGTACCTTCTTTTRGAGGGGCTCACYAGTGCAGTCGCGCATTGCCCCAGAAGATATCAGCCCCAAACGTTAGAAGTCCTTTTTGAAATCCTAAGATCCATCATTTCTGTTCCTGGTCCKAATTTTTCCATTTATACGATYACTCATTTACTKCTGCCGATGCTGAGAGAGTGGGTGTAYAGAGGTGAGAGGAACAGACATTACTGGGAAAGTACAGCGTGTAACTTCAAGCACGCATGCGGTCTAGCTACTGAGCTGATTGTAGAAGAGCTTGGAAGGTTTCTCAATGTACAAGGTATGTCATCCTCGAGCTCGTGTGTTTATCTATGTTGTTGTTGTTGTTGCTCTTGTCGTTGTCGTTGTTGTAGTTGTTGTTGTTGTTGTTGTTGTTGGTTGTTGTTGTTGTTGGTTGTTGTTGTTGTTGTTGTTATTGTTGTTGCTCTTGTCGTTGCTCTTGTTGTTGTTGCTCTTGTTGTTGCTCTTGTTGTTGTTGTTGTTGCTGCTGTTGTTGTTGTTGTTTTCTTTATTAAAATATCAATCCATTAAATGTATGTTTAACATTAAGTGTCGGGGGTTGTTTTTCAGGTGCCTCTGACTGCGTACCTGGGATGATCAAACAGAATTTGGATCTCCTGATTGACTGCGTTTCTCAGCCTGTGGAAGGAATTGCAAGACTTGGATGCTCTTGTTTAAGGTTCGCTTTTTTCCTCTTTCTCCTTTAGCTAATTTTTTTCGTGTGATGATCATGATTAAACATAATTGTACCCCCGGACTACTATGGTCTAACTACCATATCGTATATCTAGGCACCTACTGCTATCAGGGGGTCCACTATTCACAGAAGACCTATGGCAGATAGTATGCGATGGTTTACAAGAAGCTATTCAGGCTACACTGTTTAATATCAAGGACATGGTCACGTGTTTTCAGCCTGGTTCGTTCAGTGTCAGTGGTGATGAGGGTATGACTGTAAAGGTTGTAGCGAGACGGGAAGCGGTCCATGGCGGCTCGTTTAGAATGCAACAAGTCTCCGAACAGGTAATGATGATGATAATGATTACAACATAATGAATATGATAATGATTACAGTATTATGAATATATAAAAATGTAATGATTTTTMCTTTTTTTGGCCAGGTTTTCTTATTGGACAGTCAAGTAACTGGGCTTCCTGTGCGCAAAGAAACCATTCGAGAGGAGAATGGTAACGAGGATGATGATCAGCGGACATACATGTTTGTATTATCAACAATCGAGAATAAAGACAAACCAGAGAACGCAAATAGGTAACAACACTGTTATTTATATATACACCATAGAACATTGTATCCAGTTTGTCCAGAATTTTTCTGACTCCAAGTCATAAAAGTCAAAAGTAACTTTCGTAAAACTACATGCAAAATAATGTCATTAAAAATTRTTTCTGTATTTTCAGAGTTCCCATGAGAAGTCTTCTTGTTGGCCTCTTATCGCATCAGCTTCTTCTCCAAACGATCAGCTCAGTTTTGCTTAGTGCAAATGAGGCTTCCACATCGACGCTTAATATCGAGACTGATGGAGAGCCTGGTGTCGAGCCTGAGACAGTCCTYCCCGGTCTTCTCTCGTACCTCTCCCCAGCAAACCTTTCTGTCCTGTTCGACTGTTTAATGGAATCTCACACAGTTGCTTATGAATTCAACGCAAGACCTGGATTGCGGTCGTTAATTCAAAAACTCACTAAACTGGATCATCCTGCTAATCTACTGCGTCAGTCAACCACAGCATTTACTTGCTATTTACACACTTTGTTTCAAATCTGCAAACACAGCGGTGAGCATTTCTCCAGCTCACACATCAAGAGAATTCTAACTGGTGACCGTGTGAATGGAAACAACGGTCATGCRCACTCCAGTTCTCATGCTCACGCGCATGCTCACGCCCATGCGCACGACAATGAGTATTCCAAGGAGGAAGTATTGGGAAGCCCGAGTAGACATAATGATTTGTTGAAGGGWAATGGAAGTGTAGAGTGGATTGTAAGGAGACTACACGAGGCTTGTGATCAGCTTACTAGTGTCTATATACGAATGTATAACACTTACACCAATGACAATCAATTGAATTACAACATAACCACTACCGAGTTTGATCTGGACAGAAGTCTATCATGGACGCCTATGTCATCTCCAGCCCGTGACAACCCCCCAAGGGCGTACATGAATGGYGATGAAAGGCCAAGTTCTCCTAACACGTGGAAGTACGGCTCACCAGATCACAAAAAAGACAAGAATGGTAGGGAGAATCGAAAACACAATCTCGAGGAAGACCTTCGTATGATCGAACTTGAAAGACAGCTTCTGAGAAGAAAAGAAGACGAATTACTTCAATTAGGTATATGGACAAATCTAGTAATTCTAATGCTAGAAGCTTTACTTGGACTTCCAACACTGCAATTTAAAGCAGTATTACCAGCGGTCTTCCCTGCTGTGACAGGCCTCATAACCACCGGGACTGACCCCAAAGTGAGGCARCTAGTTTGTGACGTAGTGCGACGTATAGGTGCCATATATGGAATTCTGTGATTTTCACAGGGTAAATACTTCATKCTCGCGATTTTGAGMTATCACATTGATGGCTTGCATCAAAGAATCACCTACATGACGTATCTACCAATCTTGTAAAATACGCAAGATGTACGTCGTTTTATAAGATTCATGTAAGTGTGTGACACCTACGCTTGTTTTACGTTGCATTCATACACAATTTAGCGTAGAATTTACGTAAACTCTACGTACTGTACGGAAACAAATCTTTGATATACACGCTTAATACGTAATTTGTGTAATTTTTACGATATTTAGGCTTAATTTTACTATATCGAGTGTACGCACTACTTATCACACCAGTCATATACAAATTACGTAAGTCAATCCGTAATGTACGCAAACAACACACTTACGAGTATAATACTACGCAAATCGCAGATAGGCATTATAAGATACGTCTCCCCATTGCGTAATACGCACATATGCAAAGCCCTCCTCGTAGGTAATTACGTATTAAATCCTCGAGTAAGATGTGTCTAGCTTATCTATTTTGTTTAACATACGTAAATACGCAACACGCCTAAGCCAAATGAAATACGTAAGTTACACCAAAAAAGCACTTTGAGCGGTAAAATATGTTTATCAAACGTTTYTTTTGTCAAGGAAAGTTTTTATCTTAGTTCAAGTGGTTAAATGAAATCTTGGCTTTTTGTCCGACGCTGGAAAAACAACGACACAGCTCGAGCTCTAAACTTTGGAATAGTGTTGTTTTACACCAGACAAAACAGACAAAAACAAGTTAATTTTTTGATATTTTGTTTTAACGAAAGGTAGAAAAGTTAGTATTTCTTTGGTAACAGAAGTTAAATACGTGAATACGGTTACAGCATATTACAAATATTATAAAACGCTGCCGGACAAGAAATAGGCTAGTGATGGTGGATTAAGCAGTGAATTATGGGACTCGTACTTTCATAAACGCCATAATGTTTACAAATAGCTGTAATTATAAGTATTTATTTAAGAAAACATTTGAAAATAGAAGACGCGCAAAGATATCAAAGATAGATGAATATCATATCTTCTTAAAGACGATAAATATAGTCCCCTTCTTTTGATCCATTCTAAAAGGTTTCCTTTCTTTTGCATCGAACTTTGAAGAGTTAACCAATGCAGTAATTGATAGTGATGAGTTTTCGCGTCTTGAAAAAAACGTTTTTTATATTTATTACGAGCGCGCCATTCATCTTGTCTCGATGCAAAGGGAAGGCTACCTTTCTAAATGGCTCTGGAACTTGCTAATGCATTCARTGTAGAAAGAATATAGAGTTTATAGGTGATATTATTAGAGATATATTAAGTTATAAGAGTAGTAGATAATTATATAGAGAAGCAACGAAACCGTGTTTTGGGGTTCAATAAAGTTTGATTAAAAGTGATAGKTTTTTGTTAATATTAAACCACGAYAAAGGAAGCCCAAATCATGAAATAGCATTTWWWWTTTATTTCTTCTAGTAATATTACCATGGTCGTTGGTTCTATTCCCTACACAGGAAGCCCARCGTTCACAATAACAAATTATGTATAATWCTGTCATGAAWATCTTAGACGAGGCCTGGGATCGAWTTACATCACATTGCGAGCCCGCAGTTCTCACAGGACATTCATAACTAARCTACACTACATTCCTGCCTTYAACATGCTACCAACAGCGTCCATTCAATTATTATTCTACGGTCTAGTCCGTCTCTTCTTTTGTTTCGGATCTTTTTTGCCTTTTTGTCTTTTCTTTTTTTGGCCTGGAACTTCTCCTTTCATCAGGGATTTAATGGAGTCTCGGTTTTCCCATAATGCTTTAGCACCTTGTGACCTGCATCTTTGAATGATAAAAAGATGGCATCACGATCAAGCCTTGTTATGGTGGTGATAGTGATGATTATGGTAACTGTAATGATGAGAGTGACTGCTGTTTGTGCTCATGTGAATTGTACGATGACACATCATCTTCATTGGCAATCACTTGTAACGAGTAGGATTGCCATTTTGGGAGTTGATTAAAGCAAATCCTAAATTGACACATGGTAGTAATGATGAATGTATTTAAATACATTCAACAGCAGCTGGGGGACGGCGATGGCTCTCTTCGGCCTGACCAGATTGCTGTCATGGCGCAAAACCGGGTGCAGTGGAGAGGGATTGTGGTCGCTGCAGGCGAATGATGATGATGATGATGATGATGATGATGACTGATTGCAATGAATTTGGTCTCAGGAAGGTAAATATTTTCAACGGTTACTTGATATCTACCCCGGGAAAATCTATCCATGCAACTCCTCTCGCGATCTTTCTAATCTATGAATTGGGTAGATCGACATGTATATGGCCTGGTCTATTTGACCGAGTAATTTGCGTTGTGGTCATCTGCACCCATTTCCTATCGATAACTTACACAGAAGCTAATAAACCTTGATGTTAGTTTAAACAAAAAGCTTTTACAACAGGCTTTTCGTCCGAATCGTTCACTTAGATAAATCAATTATTYATGAAGGCCGTTTTTTCGTTGATAATCTTGTCTGAAATCAAGCCTTAGGGGCTTCAAACGCATTGCAAAACTATAATTCAACCATAACGAAGGACGTCGACTATAAACTGATTTTAAACTGTAAGGAATGCCTCAAAACGAAATTGCCTCAAGACGAATTCATAAAAAACGTTTTTTAAGTGCTTTGTAATTGTCTTTGAGCATAGTTTAATTTTTTGTGGTTTAGAAATGTAAACTGTATAAGGATTTTATGTTCAATCTCCTTAACTTTGATTACTTTATCTTTTGTGAGGAACATTCTACGTTGTAATTGTAAGTTATAGCACAGCATAATAAAAGTGCTCGTATCATTTTTTGTGCGCACCTCGAGAATAAATTAGACGTACTTTAGACAACCTTTGTAGTCTCTTATTCCTTGGTTTTCGTTTGCCTTTACATTTGACTATTACATCTTTTTAGAATTATATTATTTTGGATTTGCTCACTCTTGATAATGAACCCTGTACTATCTTTGTAGTTTCTTATTTCTTTGTTTTCATTTGCCTTTTCATTTGACTATTACATCTTTAGGATTATATTTTCTCTTGATAATGCGCCCTCTAAGCTTGCAGCTCACTTGTCAAACAGCGGGAAGAGCAGCGGGCGAAAACTTCTCGTAATCTGCAACTATCATCATATCCTTCGTATCGCGACGCTTCACTCCATAAATGAAATCCCACCATACAGATGTCTTTTCGCGATGTTGGGATTGTAGGGGACTAGTTTTGTTAATTATTAGACAGTTTGTCGAAGGTTTGTCGATAAAATCACCCAATGCCTCATGAATATTGAATCAATTTTTATGATTTTGTCTTCGRATTTAAAGTTTCTGTTTGACAATTTTTGACTGTGTGTTTCCCTTTTGTGCACATTTTTCTCATTTTGTGCTAATTTACAATTAATTTTACAACGCTGTGCACTTTGTAAAAGAATTTCAAGAAAATGCGAATATGATATTTYTTGTCATTTCATTTTGTTGAGCCTCCAAATGCTGAGAATTTTATATCACAGATGGAAGCCGAACTAAAGACCAAACGTTTTTTCTAGACGTTTATAAAGATTGGTCCCCTGTGAGGCCTCAAAACAAAAATCAAAGCTGTCAAATAAACATTGAAGGAAGCTCCTTTCGTATTACGAATGAAGACAACGGCAAATTTTCAGTTTGAATTCAAAAAATAGGTACAAAGAATTTTGACGACCTCACTGACTGAAATATTTCAGTCCAATTCTTGTTCCAATTTCCAGTCCAATTCTTGTTTCATTTGAGAGCAAAATGTTCTACTTACTTTTGACAAAGATTAGATTCAACGTCYTGCTTATTTTTAGGGTCGAGTCTTATCGCACAAACGCGACATCGTGAGCTCTCTTCGTTGCCCATTGCGAAGTCTCCAGCCTTAAGAGTGTAGAAGTTAAGTGATTTGTGCTGTTTTTGTCGCGCAGTGGTTTTGTTAGTCAATCTAGTAAAATCTCTTAAGGGAAAGCTGTTGATCTGTATCAATGAACAGGTATAACATAGTTAATCACTGATATTCGTTATATCTTTTATAGGAGTCCTATAGGGGAGGGGTGGATATCTTCTTAGATAGATTGATTGGTCATCGTTGAAGCACCT